CTGTTGACCAGAGTATTTGAGCATTTTAAGGTGGAGGTCCTAAGAATGGTACGAAGAAGGATTTTCTTGATGAGGAGACTATGAAGGAATGTGATTGTATTGCTCGACCATCTAGAACCAAGAGCAAAATTATGGTTACCAACGTACTTGAGGAATTGGCTACTGTCAATGAGGAAAAAACAAAGCTGAAAGATGAGCTTGCCTCATTGAAGGAGGAAAACAGGAGGTTGAAAAAGGAGAAGAAGAAATAACAAGAAGCCTCTGCTACAAGGATCGACAGGCTTCTAGTAATAATTTTAGAACAATCCTCTTCCACCAAAGAACCTTATCCTCAATCCTCTTAGGTTCCTAGTAGTCCTGGTGTCAGTCCATTGTCCAACAACCCCCTATGACCAATGTTTGTTTGTTTGTTTCTTGGTTGTTCTTTTTGTGTTGTTTGGTGTCATTGGTAGTCTGATGGGTTTGTTCAACCGTCTTTTGGTTTGGTCCCTTTGGGCTTAATATAGTACATAATGTTTTCAAACGATAATCTATAACACTTCGTATTTTAGCTTAGTCTAATGGTCTGGATTGTCTATTTTTTATTGATGAAATATATATGTTAGTGTAGTCCCAGCGGCCATGAGTTTTACATTAGTATACTCTCTCATTATGCTTACTGACATAGCATATTTTTGATGATGCCAAAAAGGAAAAGTTCGGTGTGTGCTTAAAAACCTAGTTCTTATGAAAACTACTTGAGCTAATTTTTTGGAGATATCATGAGTTGTCTATTTGCAGGTCTAACAATGAAATATGCCTAGCCATCTACTGGGTTTGCGATGAATGAAAGGCGATTCCCTCACACTTGTGCAAACATGGACAAATTGTAGAGGAAGTTCTGCATGAAACTGGTTCTTATGCTAAAAGCCGATGAACTTGGAACAAGCCAGTTTCTGAAGTTACATAAGGGTTTGTCATCATCAAAAAGGGAAAATTTGTTAAGCTAAGAAATTATTACGCTTTGATGATTAACAACCTATGATAAAAACCAAGTTTCAGGGTTTATTTTGGCAAAAGCAAGACTGGCATGACTGTTGTGAAGATGTGACAAAGTAAGATCATTGGACGACAAAATAACCAGGTTTGTTATAGATCAACTGAAGTCACCAAGTCAGAGGCAAAAGACTAGCATTCCCCTACGAGTAAGGTTTCCTAGAAGATCTATCCGTGTCTAAGAAGTTATATATGTTTGGAGGACTTTGTGTAATAAAAGAAATACGCGTATATGGAAAATACTCGTGGGAAGCAAGAATGATGCAAGTTGGAGGTAAATAAGGAGACCTAGCCTAAACAGGAAAGGATTTCCTTAACCGAAATACTCTGGGTTTTGGAGCATTAATTGGAAAAAAAATTGGCCAACCTTGCACCTGTAAAAGAAGACCTTTTGCCACAATTCAAGACTACTGCTATTGAGAGAAATCGTAAGTATACTTATGACAATATCAAAGCAAAGCAACAAGGTACTTCTGAAGATTCAATCCAATCAGCCGAAGAACGGGTTCTTGAAGATAAAGTTGCTTAAGTTCTTTAGTTGTTAGGTTGAGTCGTGTGCTCTGAGTTGTAACCTATTTACTTTCATGAATGTTTTGTAATAGGTTATTGTTGAGACTTTGTTGTGTTACGCTTTCTAAGCTAGAGTTAATTTAGAAAGGGGTTTCTACAATTGGGTTGATTGTTGGGTACTAGAGGTAGTTTCCTTGATTATTTAACTGTAACCTAAAAATTGCTCTTTAAAGTTAGTTAATTTTTGAAGGCAAATCATATTGGGTAAGTCGTGATTTTTACTCCCTTGAGCAATGAAGTTTTTTACGTAAAAATCCTTATGTTGATTATTGTTCCGCAATTATTCTTGTTTGACTGTGCTAAACTTGTTCAAAGAACCAGGTTCTTTGAAAACTCGAAAATCAAGCAAGATACAATTCAACCATTCTTCTTGTGTCTAGGTGAAGTCTAAAATAACAGAAAATAGTAAAAAGAAGAAAAAGGCGCAACCCCAATGGATGGCTAAGCCTACAAATGAAAGTGAGAAGGATGCTCAAGACCCTAAATCCCCAACTTAGATAGTTAACATAGAGAACCAAACAGTTATTTACCAAGGCAATGATCATCAAGAGAAAGAGTCTGATCCGAATGATGATGTTGATTTTGAAGAACTTGCAAGGCTGAATCATTTTGCCACCTTAAAAATTCATGAAGACAAAATTGTGCGGAAAGTAGGCAAAATTAACAAGATTAAAAAAAGGTGGAGCTCATTGACTAAGACAAATTCCAGCTTTTTGGATGGTTGTTACCCATTGTATTGTATCCTATTGTTACTTTAAATAAAATATTTGTTTTGATTGTTACTTAAATTTTATTGTACTGTATCGTTAAATCCGTTGTTACGTAACGACGAAAAGTGTCACTTTATGAAAGGATGGATTTGGTGTGGTGGCGTCGTTACCTAACTTTTTTCTCTCATCTTGCTCTTCTTTATTATTAAATAATAATTTTATTCTTTATCCTACTTTTTTATACAATAATTCTACTTTGTATCCTATTTTTTCTTGGTAATGTTGTAACTTTATTCTTCATATTATTGGTGTGTGACGTCATAAAACGACGGTAAATGATACAATCTATCCAAACATTATATTCATTAAACAATACAATACAATACAATACAAATTAATGACTAATATAGTTCTATACCATCCCTTAACATTAAATACATACAATCACATACATTCTATTATTTTGTGTTTCTATGAAAAATGTAAGGCAATTAAAGTTATTCATTATAAATATATTTGGTATTAATATTTTCTGGTGAAATAAAAATAACTAAGGTTGGATAGGGACGGGGAAAAACATAAATTGTACAATATTTAGAATGTTTTAACAAAATCATAGAAGAATTATTTAATTTACAGTCAATAGCAACTAAAATATCAACATACCATATTAAAAATTTCAATATGTCAAAAGAATGTAAAAGTAGCACGGACTAGCCAGGTTTCGGGCTGGTAATTGAAAAATAACCAGCATTTGTAAAGTCATTGAAAAATAGCCATTATTTTACTGCAACACAGAAGGTTCCAACATAATATACTGGAGATTGAAGTACATGTGTATGAACTTCCAGCATATTATGCTGGACCAGCATATTATGCTGGAACTCAATCATATTATGATGGAGTTCCAGTATATTTATACTAGAACTCCATCATAACATACTGGAGTTCTAGCATAATATACTAGAGCTCCAGTCTATTATGCTGGAAGTTCATATGTAAAAAATTCGAACTCCAGTATATTATGCTGGAATATTTTTCGGATTTTGAACAGTGTTTTCGTTCAAATTTTTTTTTTACATAAAAAGCGACTAAATTGCAGTTACTTTTAAAACAATGGCTATTTTTCAATTACCGCTTGTAAATCTAGCTATTTTTTAATTTCCCCCAAAAGAATCCACTTGGGTCGAGACGAGAATCGCGTTAACAAACTGGTTCCTTTTTGGGGTTTTAGCTCAAAATGTTACTTTCCTAATTGGCTACAGCTATCCACTATAATTTGACACGTCTATCTTGTATTTGTACGATAAATATATAATTAAATAAATATACTTTGTTTAATATTTGCTTAATAATGTTATCTCGATAATCACGTGTTTTAGTTTTAATTATTTAGAGGTCTTATATATTAACTAATATAATAATAGTATCAGATGTTTCGCATATGTTTTTAAGTAAGTTATTTGTAGATAATATACATGATATTTTGTCACTAGCTATTATACATTGTATAATTCCAGTATAATAGTGATATATTCTAATTACGTACGGTATAATGACAAATTTTAGAAATATATATATATATATATGATAATTATACAATAAAAACCATGTATAATTAATAATATTGTATAATCTTAGAATAAATCAGTTATGTGATTTGCAATTTCAGCGGCTTCTCACATGAAAAATATATATCAAACAACCCTTAACTAAGAGTGCATCATTTGCAACATAGAAAACATTTTTTAAATAGAAAGTCTTAATACACGCCAAAATAATTGTGTGTGTGTTGGGGGTAAGAGATGGAGACGGGTGGGAAAGAGAAAGGGTTTTGAAACTCCTATTTTTTAATACTAGCGTTTTAATAAAGCAGGTCCTTAGTTTATGCTTTATTATTTATTTTAAAAATCACGTGAAAGTTTAAAATTTTTTAAAGGTAAATAAATTTTGTTACATACGAAATAAACCAAGAGTTATGTTGTTTAGATGAAAGAAAAAAAGAGAGAGTTAAGTATGTTGTTTGTTTATATATAAATAAAAAATTTAGAATTTTGACCTACCTGTAAAAATTGTAAAAATAGTACGGGCTGGTCAGTTTTCGGATTGGTCATTCAAAAATAGTCAGCATTTGCCAAGTCATTGAAAAATAACCACTATTTTGCTGCAATAGAGACCTGTCAAGCATAATATATTGGAGTTCGATACACCTGTAAATGAACTTCCAGCATATTATGTTGGAACTCCAACACATGGAAAGTTCCAGCATATTATGCTGGAGATTGGAGCACTTGTTTATGAACTTCCAGCATATTATATTGGATCGATATACTTTGCTGGAACTCCCGTATATTATGCTGGAGTTCTAGTGTACTTATGCTGGAACTCCATCATATTATGCTGGAGTTCCAGTATACTTATGCTGGAACTCCAGTATAATATGTTGGAGTTCAAATATACTTATGCTGAAATTCCAGCATAATATACTGGCGTATTTTTCGGGTTTTGAACAGTATTTTCGCTCAGATTTATCTTTACATGAAAAATGACTAAATTTCGATTACTGTTGAAAGCGTAACTATTTTTGAATAACTACTTATAAATCTGGCTATTTTTGAATTTCTCCCGTAAAAATTCTCCAAGTTATATTAGGCCCGTGTATTTCAACTGAAGAGCCCAAATTCCTTCTGGCGGGTCGGATAGAGAACAAATGCAAAAACCCAAATTTGTAACTTTAAAAATTGCGCCAGCTTTCCTCTGCTCTGAGCTTGCGAAATCGAGAGTATGTGCCCTCTTCGTCTTTTAATATAGAAAATCTCAACTCCAATTACTACGGTTCTTAGTGATTCTTTTCAAGAATATTCATTCTTATTTGCTGGAGTTAGGGGAGTTTTTGTTTTTGTCTACATAAATACCAGATTTTCTAACAGGGAACTGAATTTAAATACCACTTACAATTGTTATATGATATCTATGTTGCAGGGACGGGGCAATGAAAGTGAAAATACTGCGTATCCTTTTGATTGTTTTTCTTATATACCGTGACACGTGTCCAATAATCACATAGTGGTTTGCATCTGATCTATCACACCAGTAGGTGCTTCATGTTTGTTGCCAATTACTAGAATTAGCTGGGTTAATATTTAGCCAACTGCTTCAATTATGGCCAGTCAGTAATTTTTTTTCATTAGTTAGGATTATATGACAAGTGCATTTTATAATCTCAACTATTAGCAGATCATACTGGCAGGAAAGCACATATTCAGTCAAATCCTCAGTAATCTTGGGAAATTGTAGATTCTAACTTGTTTAAGAAGACTACCAAATTACTTTGTGATTGACAAATCAGCATTGACCATGAACCTTCATTGTATTGCCAAATTAATTTTACTTCAGGAACCATTTCCATGTATTGGTTTTTATGACCACTTCACAAGTTTAATTTCTAAGAGAAAAGGTGCACATAAATGCTTAAGTTTGAACTGCCCTAAAGTCTTTATTTTCGTGACATTTTATATGCCATGGGAATTTTCACGTTTCTTGTTCGTATGCGTTGGAAACTCTACTTCTTATTGTGCTAACCCAATCGTTAGAGTAGCTTTATACTGCAAGTTGATTACATGCTTTGATGGAAGGACTTTTCTTGTATTGTTTTTTTGCTTTTTACTTCATCAAAAGATTCCCTTGACCTATTATTTCGGGGCGCTTCTCTGGAATCATGAATAGAGTATGTCCTCTTCATGGCATTTGATTTTACTAGTCTCAGATGTCTTGCTACATGTGTAGCTTGTTCTATCTCACTTTTTTACTTCCTTATGTATTGCAGATGGCACGCTGTTGCTTCATGGACATGGGATGCTCAGGATGAAACTTGTGGGATATGTAGGATGGCTTTTGATGGTTGCTGTCCTGATTGTAAACTCCCTGGGGATGATTGCCCGCTAAGTAAGCCGATCTATCTCTATATTATAGCTAAACTTTGGGATGAAAACTATAGATTCTGTATGGGGCTTAATTTGTTGTGTGTCTATGTGTCAGTTTTTGTTTGTATACTAATGTGTACTCTCATCTTTGTAATATAATGCTGAAGTAATTTCATAAGATAACTTAGTCATCAGGAATAGTTCGGGCCACATTTGTTAGTAAACGTTGTATTTGAACCTTACAATTAAGTGTGGCTACAAGTATGCTTGACTGTTTTCGCGAGAATGACTTCTTGTAAATTCACGACGTGTTGAGTTGAGGCGAACACCGTCTCTAATTTAGTCTCTTAGGTGTAGATAATTCTAGGTTTATCCCTTTTTTTTCTTTTAGGATAGTTAGTCCCTGAGGTTTAGATATTCTTAGGTCAGTATAATCATAATGATAAGGTCAGGTATCAAGTTTTCCTTGAGAATATCCAATAAGATTTATGGTAACACTTCATTCAGGCTCACTACACCAACAAAGTTTTTCCTGTCACTGCCCTGCAGAACAGGACGCTCGTATTTAGTTATAATCAATGTTATTTGGTGTAATGAGAGTCTACTTGTTTGAAAATGCTATTACACATTACCATTTCGAAATGCTTCTGGTCACTGCTTAATAGTGATATTCCCTAAATTTTTATTGCTATATATATATTGAGTCCTTTTAATCAACCAATAAATTCGGTAAAGAACTAAACTGAGGAAGCAACTATTATTCAGTTACTCACTGTAGTTACTAGCTTTCTTAAAAGTAAGTCACTGCATTGCTAACCCCATTGTGGATTGGTGAACCACCGTATTTGTTAAGCTAATGTATCCCCAAGCGCCTAGTTGTCGATAAGCACCAAGGTGCTGATAAGTTATAAGCATAGCTTTAAGCTCCTTGGTCGGCCTTGAAAGTTCAGAAGAACTAATATGTTGTGCTTCATGGGGCCTTAAAGCTGTATATATGACCATAGTGGGCTTTGGGCATCAAACATGGACATTTATCTTTTTAAAACCTTAAAATGTTTGGTTATGTTAACTTAGACAATTGATTATCTGTTTTGCATTTTCTACCTTCTAGCTAACAAATGGTTAGTAACTTTTTCCTGAAAAGCTTAATCATTTGCAGTCAAAAGATTGGATTTCCATTTAATGACGTCTCCCCTGAGGAGCGAAACAATGATTAATTGAATAAGATAATTTCATGAAGTGAGAATAGTTAGTGTGAATCAAAATTATTTCTAAGAGCTTTTTTCTTCCAACACAGATGCTGTCTTGGATAGTCAAACGCGTGAGAGACGCATCTAAGATGATTTTACTTGTCTAGAATTTCCTCCACTTGCAATAGCTACTCCTTCCGTCTCAAATTATCTGTCGTATTTGTGTTTTACGCACCCCTTAAGAAAATAATAATTAAGAGGTATTTTGACTATTTTACCCTTATTTATATCTTATTGGTATTTCAACAATCATCATATTAACCCATAATTGAGGTATTTGTAGTTTTCAAGAACAATTACTACCGAGGTAAAATAGGGAAAATAATTAAATTTGTCTTGAACTTCTAAAATGACAATAATTTGAGACAATTATTTTTAGAAATCACGACAAATAATTTGAGACGGAGGAAGTATGTTTTTGGCATGTCTTATATGTGCAGAAAGATCGAATCCTTTCTAGACGGTGATCTTCTCTTTAGAATGCATGATATACGTACACATCCGAATCTTTAAAACTTTTCGAATGATGGGTCTAAATTCAGAAAGAAGAGGCTATATAAGATCATATATTAATATAGACATGAGAACGGAGGAGTAGCTTAATGGTGAGAATCTTCCACCTCCAACCATAAAGTTGGATCGACTCACAAAGTGAGCAAGGGTGAAAGAGACCATTGTTGGATTCTAGGATATAAGGGATTGAACATGAGATTTTACCATACCATAAAAAGTTAATTAATGTAAATGTGTTTAACATGTTTTGAAAAAGTGTTAACTATTGGTCGAATTTATTAATTGGCTACGAAACTAAGCAATTAGGGACGGATAATTTAATTGCCATATTATGTCAGTGACCTATTGATGTGTTTTGGTGCTACATAATGTAGGCCTTTTCAGCTGTTGACTGTTTTGCCTTGTGTAATGCCTTCTCTGCTGACTCAAAATTTACAGATGTGGTTAAGAGTTGCCATCTTTTCATTTGTTCACTTAATTGTTCTTTTGTGAGGCATTTCTTCCTAGTTTAAGTTTTGCTTTGCCTTCCTTTCCTTAAAGATTAGAATAAGATACTTCATAAAAAGTTCTTTAGAGTAAGATACATAGCAGTTATCGCTCTATCTCTTATATAGGAACAAGGCCAGGTCCCTATCCCAATTCTTTGGTATTTAGCAGAAACAAATGCTACTAGAAAAAAAGATTGAAACAGCATTTTAGTTTCATTTCCTATTATATATTTATTTGTTTATTTATGTCTAAGGAATTTCTGATTTTTTTCATCCTATTTAAATCTTATGATCTATAATTGCATCATGCTTCCAGCAGTGGAGTTCTGTTGGTACCTTGTCTTGAGTCCTGACAGCCAGAACCTGAATAGTTACAATATCCCTTCCACTCAAGTGTGACTTTTAGGGTGATGTTGCATTTTATTACATGTGTATTTTGGCTTGAAATGGCAAACCGCCAGTTATGATTTGACTGTTTATACCAACTACAGTTGGCCAAAAATCACTTTGGATCCTAGCTCAAGTCTTGCCTACAGACATTTGTCTTATAGATGACCAAGAAATTTGAGACCTTTTTAAGATCCTCCCTAGCCAAAAGCATAGATTACCAAGAAACATTTAGATATCCTTTTCTCTTTCTGAATTATCTGGAATGAGTCTCCCATCCTACTATGAGAACAAATAATATATTTGTAGTCATTATCCAAGTAAATCTTTCAGCTCTCTATTTCTAACAAATTAAATTAAGGGATACTTGCGAATGTCGCACAGTAAAAGGGTGAAATTGAAATTAAATAGAATATAAGATCAGAAAAGGAATAAATGTAAACACAAAACAAAAACACAAATGCAAGGATCACAAAGGGAATAAATGTAAAAGCAAAACAAAAACACAAATGCAAGGATTTGTAGAAAGTATAAATCCCTACTGCTACCCCAGCCCACAATCACCCCTCCCCTAATCTTGCCGGTCATTTTTCTTGCCTCCTAGAATGCCTACCCCCCTCGCCTGCACCACTCTGCTTCCTCCCTTGCCTTCCCAGCCCACTAGTGTTCTCTCTCCATCCCCCCAAATGCATGACACCACACTCCTTCCATCACGGCAGTATTTGGTTTTCGGTTCAAGCTTATAGAGTTCAGGGTCAAAAAAGGTCTTAGTTGGAGCCCTGCAACCTTTTTTCTCGTTCTCTCTCTCCGGGGAGGATCTTAATCATACTTGCTTAACCACCATCCCCCATTAATCATCAGAACTAAAAAAACTTATATCATGGCAACATTTAGCTAGCGTTTGACCATAAATTCCCAAATTTGTTTTAAAAAATTTAATTTGGATGAAATTTGGTTTGAATATAAAAATTTGTTTGGACATAATTTTTAAGACATACTTCACTTTTTTTTTTTTTTTTTTTTTTTTTTTTTTTTTTTTTG